GGTATATTCTAAAAATAATTTTACTTGCTCCACACACAAGTTTAAACACACTTGAATATATTATTATTTTACATTATGCACAAAACCGTGCAAGGAGTTAACTTTGTAAACATTTTGTGGACTGTATGATCGGTTCTGACAAGTCACCCACACGGATAACGTTTTCTATGATATCGTAAGACCATTTTGTAGATGACTGAGCAATGCCACATTGGACAGAAGCTCAACAAGCCACAATTAATTCATTCATTGTGTCGGGGGGACAGGCAGCCAGGGTGTATTCATTCACGTTTTGGCTTTTATTAGATTAAGCCACCCAAAAGGTGGCACGGGCATGAATAGCCCGTAAGTGGTGGCCCTTTTGAGCCATTACCAGTATCAAGAGCTGATACTGGAGATCTGTGGAGGTGCGACTGCACCCTGCGTGACGGGAGATGTCTCCCAAGGAGACCACTAGAGAAGATGACTCTCGGGTAAATTCAGGTATCTACATGTTTCTATCTCCATTGATCGTTTCTGTTGGTAGTTTTTTATGGGCTATTGGTTCGAATCTCTGGATTATATCTAGTCATTTCTGTATCTACTGCAACCTTAGCACGAGTATTACATTTGATTACGTTCTATAATAATATTAATTTCATTTTACTGGGGACAGGATGCTTGTATATTTACATACTTCAGGCTTGTATCGAGGTCTCCCTCAAGGTGGAACTACTGACCCTCCCCACGATGCACCCCCCACAACAGTTGCCTGACTCCAGGGTACCCCATTTACTGCTAGTCGAACAGGTGTATTAGGTAAAAGGAAATGTGAGTCTCACTCTAGAGTGCAGAGTGCAATACGACTGACTCTACTCACTCACTCACTCACCCTACGACTCACTCACTCTACGACTCACTCTAGCTAGTGAGACTGACTGAAATATGGGAAATTGACAGGGTGGACAAAGACAAACTCTTCAGCACGGGTGGGACACGAACAAGGGGACACAGGTGGAAACTTAGTACCCAGATGAGCCACAGAGACGTTAGAAAGAATTTGTTCAGTGTCAGAGTAGTTAATAAATGGAATGCATTAGGCAGTGATGTGGTGGAGGCTGACTCCATACACAGTTTCAAGTGTAGATATGATAGAGCCCAGTAGGCTCAGGAACCTGTACATCAGTTGATTGACAGTTGAGAGGCGAGACCAAAGAGCCAGAGCTCAACCCCCGCAAGCACAATTAGGTGAGTACATCACAATAGTGTGATATATCAAATGAACAAATCCATAAGGGCCGTGATGTGGGTTCGAAACTACGCCCGGGTTGTTGCAAGAATTCCAGTCACTGCCGGTTGCAAGGTGGCCTCGGCATACGCCCCTCAAGAGATGACCAACGTAACACACGAAGCATATACACACACTAGACTGACACAGGGTTAAATATAGGAGTGATTATATAGGGGGGGGGGGTGTTGCAAGGGGGGGGGGGGTCGTCCCCCACTCGGGTGTGGGAGGAGGGGGGGGGCTGGGGGCTGTGGGGGAGGATGCGTGGGTGGAGCAACGACAAATAATGTAGAGAATTTAGTACGTGTGTGTGTGTGTGTGTGTGTGTGTGTGTGTGTGTGTGTGTGTGTGTGTGTGTGTGTGTGTGTGTGTGTGTGTGTGTGTGTGTGTGTGTGTGAGAGAGAGAGACAGTGTGTGTGTGTGTGTGTGTGTGTGTGTGTGTGTGTGTGTGTGTGTGTGTGTGTGTGTGTGTGTGTGTGTGTGTGTGTGTACTCACCTATATGTACTCACCTATATGTGCTTGCAGGATCGAGCATTGACTCTTGGATCCCGCCTTTCTAGCTATCGGTTGTTTACAGCAATGACTCCTGTCCCATTTCCCTATCATACCTAGTTTTAAAAGTATGAATAGTATTTGCTTCCACAACCTGTTCCCCAAGTGCATTCCATTTTTCTACTACTCTCACGCTAAAAGAAAACTTCCTAACATCTCTGTGACTCATCTGAGTTTCCAGTTTCCACCCATGTCCCCTCGTTCTGTTATTATTACGTGTGAACATTTGATCTATTTCCACTTTGTCAATTCCCCTGAGTATTTTATATGTCCCTATCATATCTCCTCTCTCCCTTCTTTTCTCTAGTGTCGTAAGGTTCAGTTCCTTCAGCCGCTCTTCATATCCCATCCCTCGTAGCTCTGGGACAAGCCTCGTCGCAAACCTCTGAACCTTCTCCAGTTTCTTTATGTGTTTCTTCAGGTGGGGGCTCCATGATGGCGCGGCATACTCTAAGACGGGTCTCACGTAGGCAGTGTAAAGCGCCCTAAAAGCTTCCTCATTTAGGTTTCTGAATGAAGTTCTAATTTTCGCCAGTGTAGAGTACGCTGCTGTCGTTATCCTATTTATATGTGCCTCAGGAGTTAGATTAGGTGTCACATCCACTCCCAGGTCTCTTTCTCGAATCGTTACAGGTAGGCTGTTCCCCTTCATTGTGTACTGTCCCTTTGGTCTCCTGTCACCTGATCCCATTTCCATAACTTTACATTTACTGGTGTTAAACTCCAGTAGCCATTTCTCTGACCATCTCTGCAGCCTGTTTAAGTCCTCTTGGAGGATCCTACAATCCTCGTCTGTCACAACTCTTCTCATTAATTTGCGTCATCTGCAAACATCGACATGTATGATTCCACTCCTGTAAACATATCATTTACGTAAATTAGAAAGAGGATTGGTCCCAGCACCGATCCTTGAGGTACTCCACTTGTTACTGTTCGCCAGTCCGACTTTTCGCCCCTTACCATTACCCTCTGGCTCCTTCCTGTTAGGTAGTTCTTCACCCATACTAGGGCCTTTCCGCTTACTCCTGCCTGCCTCTCAAGTTTGTATAGCAGTCTCATGTGCGGTACCGTATCAAAGGCCTTTTGGCAGTCAAGAAATATGCAGTCTGCCCAGCCTTCTCTGTCCTGCCTTATCCTTGTTACTTTATCATAGAATTCTAAAAGGTTTGTTAGGCATGATTTCCCTGTCCAGAACCCATGTTGGTGCTTGTTTACAAACCCAATGCTCTCCAGGTGCTCAACAAGTCTTAGCCTAATTATTCTTTCAAGTATTTTGCAGGGGATGCTTGTCAGTGATACGGGTCTGTAGTTAAGTGCCTCCTCCCTATCCCCCTTTTTGAAAATCGGTACGACATTTGCCTCCTTCCAGCAACTGGGCAATTCTCCCGACATAAGTGACTCATTGAAGATCATTGCCAGAGGCACGCTGAGAGCCTGCGCTGCCTCTTTAAGTATCCACGGTGATACTTTGTCTGGTCCAACAGCTTTATTTGCATCCAGTGTTGTCAACTGTTTCATTACATCCTCTGCTGTCACCTCTATATCTGATAGTCTTTCATCTTGGGTAATCTCTTCTAACAATGGGAGCTGCTCAGGCTCGGTAGTGAACACTCCATGGAATTTTGCATTCAGTACCTCGCAGATTTCCTTGTCGCTTTCTGTATATGCCCCTTCTGTTTTCCTCAGTCTTGTCACTTGGTCATTTACCGACATCTTCCTTCTTATATGGCTATGTAGTAATTTTGGTTGCTTTTTCGCCTTGACTGCAATATCGTTCTCATAATTTCTTTCCGACACTCGTCTTATGTTAATGTAATCATTCCTAGCTCTGTTACATCTAATCCTGTTGTCCTCTGTCCTTTGCCTTCTGTACTTCCTCCACTCCCTCCTGCTTCTCACCTTTGCTTCCTGACACTGTCTATTAAACCATGGGTTATTATATTCCCTCCTGCTTTTTTCCTTTATTGTTGGAATAAATCTATCTTCAGCCTCCTTGCATTTCAATATGACTTGGTTCATCATACCTTGCACTGTTTTTCCTCTAAGTTCTTCCTCCCACTGCACTTCTCCCAGGTAGTCCCTTATCCTTCTGTAGTCCCCTTTCCTGTAATCAAGTCTCCTTTCCCGGACCTCTTGTCCTTTGGTCACAATTTTAAGCTCCATCATGTAGTCAAAGGCTAGGACACAATGGTCACTAGCTCCTAGTGGTATTTCATGTTCCAACTGCTCGATGTCTTCTACATTCTGAGTGATAATGAGAATGTCTTCTACATTCTGAGTTTGTGTGTGTGTGTGTGTGTGTGTGTGTGTGTGTGTGTGTGTGTGTGTGTGTGTGTGTGTGTGAGTGAGAGAGAGACACACGTGTGTGTGTGTGGGGGGGGGGAGGGGGGGACACGTGTGGGAGGCTGGTATGTGTGTGTTTCCGCACTCACCTAGATGTACATCCTCTTGATGAGCTCTGTGGCTCTATAAGACCCACCTCACAACAGTTAACCAATTACGGGATATTCAGGCCCGTGCCACCTCTTGGGTGGCTTAATCTTCATCAGTCAATCAGTTAACCAACAGGTGTACAGGTTCTAGAGCCTGTTGGGCTCTGTCATATCTACAGTTGCAGCTGTGCATGGGGGGCTTAACCCCACCACCTCACTTCGTAGTGCAATCTATTTCTTGGCTAGTCAGCCACGTCAATTCTTGCGAGAATTTTATATGTGGTGATCATGCCTCCTCTGTTTATTCTCTATTACATTTACCTGAGGTTTAACTCTAGTTTTCCTCGTAGCTCGTACCTCTCAGCTCTAGGACTAGTCTCGTGGCATTCCTCTGGACTTTGTCCGGTTTGTGTATTTAACGATAATGTTTTATATGAATATAACGGTGTGAGTGAGTGTAAGAATATTATATCTTGCCCGGGAGTATATCGCTGGCAGCGCCAGGTCAGTACTCGCCTCCCAACGGTGCCCTCACTACTCACCTTCAAAGGTGCCCTCAGTACTCGCCTTCAAAGGTGCCCTCAGTACTCGCCTCCCAACGGTGCCTTCAGTACTCACCTCCCAAAGGTGCCCTCAGTACTCACCTCCCAAAGGTGCCCTCAGTACTCACCTCCCAAAGGTGCCCTCAGTACTCACCTCCCAAAGGTGCCCTCAGTACTCGCCTCCCAACGGTGCCCTCAGTACTCACCTCCCAACGCGGGCGGACGACCCGTCGACGTGGTAGGTTTCAGCCGCGCCTTCACCCATTTTCTCTCTCAATTATTCTCTTTATTCCTCGTGGTTTCTGTGTCTTATTCTACCGTTTCCACAAACTCTTTCTTTCTCTTCGCTTTATCTTTCCGTATCGGTTTTCTGTCTAGCGGCTGAGTTAGTCATCTCTCTCTCTTGCAGGTGTCGTCATTAGCTTTTTGTCTTTCACTGTTTACCGAGTCTGTTCACTGTTGCCCATCTGCGGGTGTTGGGAACAGTGTTCTGATGAGTCGCCCTCGATGGTGTCGTGTTTGGGGGGGGTGACAGGTGTTTGTGTGTGTGTTGGGGAGGGGGTGGACAGGTGTATGAGGGAGGGGCAGACAGGTGTTACGTGGCTACGCAGCTGTTGCGGTGCAGTTCTTGTCGTGGTGGGGAATGGTGGTGATTTGATGATGGAGGTGGAGAAGGGTACGAATGGAAGGGGGTGAATGCGTTTGAGGGGGGATGAATGCCGAGAGAAATAGAAAGAGGGGGAAAATAGTAGTGTGATAGGACGAAATGAAGTTGTATACAAAACAGACGCTGATATCATACCAGAACATTGACTCATGTATATGTACACCCACTAATGTGAATGAGTAGATTTGTATGATACGTACACACGTCCCTTAAGCCAGCCATACGCATGCCCTAAGCCAGCCATACGCATGCCCTAAGCCAGCCATACGCATGCCCTTAGCCAGCCATACGCATGCCCTAAGCCAGCCATACGCATGCCCTAAGCCAGCCATACGCATGCCCTAAGCCAGCCATACGCATCCCCTTAGCCAGCCATACGCATCCCCTTAGCCAGCCATACGCATGCCATAAGCCAGCCATACGCATGCCCTAAGCCAGCCATACGCATGCCCTAAGCCAGCCATACGCATGCCCTAAGCCAGCCATACGCATGCCCTAAGCCAGCCATACGCATGCCCCAAGCCAGCCATACGCATGCCCTAAGCCAGCCATACGCATGCCCTAAGCCAGCCATACACATGCCCTAAGCCAGCCATACGCATGCCCTAAGCCATCATACACATACCTTTGTTAGTTTGAATCGGTGACCTCTTGTTCTTGAAGATGCAGGTTCCTCTTTGTGAATTTTTGTCAGTTCTTGTTACTACTGTACTTTGTATATAGTGGTTGTATTGCCTCTTTCTTCTATCTTCTAGCATTGGCATTTTGTAGCCTCTCCACTGTAGCCATTAGCCCGTTTTCGTAGCTCGTTTCTCGGTTCCGGAAGCCATTTCGTAGTACTGTACTGTATATCTTTCACCTAAAACCAGTTTATTGATGTGCTTCTTGAGATATGGGCACTACAGTATACAACTGTTGCATATTCCAATTTTGGTCTCGTAAAAATTGTAAAGTTTCTTAAATATTTCACCGTCCAAGTATTTAAAAGCAATTCTGAATTTGGAAAGCATAGCATTTGCTCCTAACACAGTGTACTTTTATGTGGTCCTTTGGTGACAGTCTGCTATACAGAACCTATCTGCACACAGAGATCACACTAACGTGATGCATCAAATGAACAAATCCACAAGGGCCGTGACGAGGATTCAAACCTGCGTCCAGGAGCATCCCAGCTCCCGTAGCTCAGTCGATTAAGGCAGTGTCTGGGATGCTCCCGGATGCAGGTTCGAATCCTCATCACGGCCCTTATGGATTTGTTCAGAACCTATCTGTTTTGGTATAATTTTTTTTGGCCTTCATATATCTCACAAAATTTGACATGCGTACCCCTGTACATCTTATTTACTTCATTGCTGACTAAGAAGCCTTTCCAATCAAATTCATTAAAGAACTTACAGTACTAAGTTTTCTAGTGTCCTCTCCTGAAATAAAGTTTTTCAACCATTTCATTTTTCCCAGTCTCTTCTAGATTATAACGTATTGCGTATTTTATTTTTAAGAGGACATGGTGCCTATAACCAAAAGGAGAAAGGTATTGAATGTCAAATATCTATTATTCATTCTGGTACATATGAAATCCAGAACTGATGGAACATCCCCTTCCCTTTGGTCTCATAGCCTACTTTATTGATATGTGAATGTCTCCAGGATGAGGTTTACAAATCTGGTAGTCCAAATCTCCTCTATTCTTGCTGTATAGGCCTCCCAGTCTATTGATTTAAAAATTGAAGTTACCAAGTACCAACAGTCATAGTAATTATTATTATTATTATTTACAAAAAAATTTACACATGATGAATGGAAATAAATACATAGGTATAACAGGTTCAGTGCATAAAGCCACCAATATGCAGTGCATTTCGAGAATAACTTAAGATAAGTTATTCTCATCAAATCTTAACTATATTAAGATAATATAGTTAAGATTTGATGAGGTTGACACTTAATACTAAACAAGAAGTACGATAACATATAAATTGTTGAAGGCATTTAATAAATGTATAGCTTTTATGGAGGGCAAAACTTAGAAGGATTTAGGAGAAAATAAACAGATGTAATTATAAAATGCTTAAAATTAAATGAGATATAGGAACTTTATTGATTTGTTGAAAGATTTAAAAATAATTGACAAATATGGGACATTTATAAACAGCAGCTACTTTAACAGTACATATAGTTACTAAGTTTGAAAAGAGGATGAGATTAAGAAAAATAACATACAATGCTTTATGATATAGTACTTGTAAATGGATCATTGTATAAATTTTTACTATTAATTCAAGACAACCTGCTATCAATATATTCTATCTTTGGCACAATTACTAAAGAAAAAATGCCAAGTAAAGTTGTAATATATTCAGCATTTTGTCTTAATTTTACATTTTTGAGAATCTGAGGTTACCTAAGCGTAAAGAATTCAAGCAAATCATTTCAGCAACTTTGACTGCTTAGATTTAAGAGAATATACTGTGAATTTATATTGCAATACTGTACTGGAATGTGAATCAAGAAATAAATAATAGAGTACGTTAATAATGCAAGCCAGAAATTAAACAAAAAATTCCTTATGGTAATTGATACAGACAATAAGTCATTAATGGTTAAGATCAAGGAACTGACAACTGTACACATCCACCCAGCGACCTGGGGACAAGATGACCGTCAACAACGGTTGACCTGGGACTACCTTCCTGTACCATACAATAAATACCTGTACATAAAGGTTAGGCATATAAATTTAAATATATACATACACAGTATACAGTACTGTAATACTGTATTATAAATAGTAAAATACTGAGGACAGTATAGACCTTTAAGCATTAAGTTGCTATTAAATTTTCTCACTCTATCATTATTTTCGCTCGATGAATGTAAACTTCATTGGTCCTTTTGGAGAAAATACATACTTGTAGGCTCGTTCAAGGTCATCATGTTTCCAGTCGAGATTATACTGGTGAAAAGTCTGCAAGTCGGAAAAAGTCTATGATAACAAGTATGTTTGAATGGTTTATTGTTTGGTAATTAGTTTCCAGATTTTCTGACTGCAGTAGTCTATGCATAAAATAGTTGGAGAAAAAGGTTTGTTTTAATTTATTGCATTGGGACAGGAAGCTGGTGTATATATACTGTACATGTTATGCTTATATCGAGGTCCCCTCAGAGGTCGAATTACTAACCCCTCTACAGGATGCAACCCCACAAGCTGACTAACTGCTGGGTACCTTTTTACTACTAAATGAACAGGATCATTAGGTTATGACATAGCAGAAGACATACATGCATTTGTTTACAAAAAATAAATAAATTAACAGAAGGAAATTACTTTGTAAAGTTTTGGTTAATTACATAGTGAAACTGTAAAGTACAGTTAATTAAGAATTGCATGAGAACTTGTACATTCCAGGTCTTATCATTGTACGAATTATTCCCTTGAAAGACTCTTGTGAAGTCTAGTACCTATGAAGTGTATTTGGGTCTAATGTTTCCAAAATAAATAATTAATTTATCAATTACAGGTATATGATAATTTGTTTACATTTATGCATGTATGACATCTCTCTCTTGTAATATTATATATACAGTATATAGAGACAATCATAGGTAGAATAGTTTTTATGTCCATGAAGCCCTATTATTAATCTATTTGTTAACAAATCTGAATACTCTACCCCCCCATAGAGAATGAATTCATTGTTGGTATATAGCTGTTGGATTAAAATAATGTATTTGGGATAGTTAGATTTTCTCATGTACTCTATCATAAATATTAAAACAGCAATAAATGCTGAAGGGAATTGAGCTGACAAATCAGACTTATGCTGAATGTCGAGTTCAACAAAAGGTGTGAAATTTTTATTGAATATCTGGCATAGATGGTTCCCTACCAACAAAGTAGGTAGGGAACTTATTTCACTGGAGAAATAAGTGAGGTGCAAACTGAGGATATATAAGTACTGTGCTGTATAAAATATGAAGTGACTAAAACCAGAAACTTTATTCAATATGTCTCAATTGGTAGGTCAGAATGCAACTGGTTTTAATTATTGTATTGTGCACTGATTTGTTCCCCGAACATATTAAGAGAAATAAGGAAAGCAGCCAATATGAGCAGAAGTGAATGATATAGCTTAATCACAGGTTGAATTTGTGTGAACTAAATAAACTTGTTACTGTAATTGTTAAGCTGGACATATAATACTGTAATTACAAAATGGGTAAGACATAATCACCATAACTAAATATTTCCCTTCATAACAATTGAAAACGTACCCTAGCTACCAAGGTATGAAGTTCTTGTTCTGCAAGACGACGCCCCACACACATCCGAATGCCATGTGAGAAGGGAAGAGATGCGCAAGGATGTATATTTCCAAAGGGTCGATGCCGCAGCCATCGTTCAGGTAGAAATTCATCGTGTCGTGGAAAATATTCCTCATCCCAGCCAGAGAGGGCATTCATTAAAATCACTAGCCACTGTTAAAGAAAAATGTATGTTTTTAATTAATTTGGCAGAAGAGGAATTATACCATAGTATGTATGTAAAGTGACTTACCATAAATCCAGACCTTATATCATTCTTGATTCTGTTATATATGCAGATTCATTCTATAATATATATAATTCCAAACTCATTCTGGATTTATAAATATAACTTGGATTTCTGAATACAGTAAAAAACAAAAACAAAATCATACAACTTATATTTTTTAATATTAAACCCTTTACATGTGCGTGTCAATTAGGGAAGTTCTCGCCATTTCTGACGTCATTGTACAAGTCAATGAAAGAGTAGTTATGCAGTAGAGAACTGCGTAAGATTTAACAGTCCCATGGGTATGAGGCTCAAATCTGCTTCTTCACCAATAAGCAGACAGCATCATAGAAAAAAAACAATGGGCATCCTTCTTGGGTGAGCAGGCCTCAGTACCAAGACAGTGACCATGGGTAGTGCATGCAGCAGCAGCAATTGACAGCACTGCCGTGCAGCTTGTGCCCAGAACATCACTGAATAATGATGAAATAAATAACTGTGCTTATTTAAATTAATGATCTTTTATGACACTGATAAAAAGTAAGTATAAGGTTGGGATATGTGCATGGCATTTAGGTACGTATTTTACTGTGTATGGTTGTCAGCAACTAACTAGCATGTAGTACTATGCAGTGTTTGGATTGCTAGCTTATCGCATTCACCACAACGACTTAGTTACGATGCATAAAAATCTAGGTACAGTTGAATTGTATATTCAGTGTACTGAGCATTCCGATGTTTCACACATTATTTTATGAATTTTTCAAATGATAAAGTGTATTTTGACGGAAAAAAAAAAAAAAAAAAAAAAAAAAACGAGAAAAAGCAACTCGGAGACTTTTTTTTTTTTTTTTTTTTTTTGAGATATATACAAGAGTTGTTACATTCTTGTACAGCCACTAGTACGCGTAGCGTTTCGGGCAAGTCCTTAATCCTATGGTCCCTGGAATACGATCCCCTGCCGCGAAGAATCGTTTTTTCATCCAAGTACGCATTTTACTGTTGCGTTAAACAGAGGCTACAGTTAAGGAATTGCGCCCAGTAAATCCTCCCCGGCCAGGATACGAACCCATGACATAGCGCTCGCGGAACGCCAGGCGAGTGTCTTACCACTACACCACGGAGACTGTGAAATAAATTTGTAAAAACATCTTCACTGCAACTCCCACTCCCTGATCTGGGGTGACCTCTGAGGTAGGGTGGTCTTTTTATGTCGGGAAGAGTCTTAGCACCAACATAAAACTAATCGCTTAAATATTCCACCATCATGATCACTTATATATTCTATATAAATATAGCCTCTTCATGATATACCTCTTATAATTATTACTTCTATAAGGCTAAAACTAGCCAGACCATGTCAAACAGGAGGATATCTTTTCTACTTGCAAATAATTACAAATTTATAGAATATACAGTAAGAAAACCTTTGAGCAAATGATGCCAGCACAAGCAATATGAAATATAGTATGGAATGTTTGGTGTCAGTAACACTGGGCTGCCCATAGAAAATAATTCACATGGACCGACTGTATTGTACCATTTATACCATAAGTTCAGTACAACATTTCTAAGAAAGAAGAAAAAAAAGAAGTAACAATTTGATTAACTACAATATATCAATTGTGACACTAGCTCTCCACATATGTCAGTTGCTTAATTTAGAAACTGTACTTGTGGTCGATCTCGAACCCATTGTTGATGTGACGACTTATGCTGAATTTTGTAACTAGCTCATCAAGATTGTAACTTGCTTAGGTAAATGAATTGTGGGGTTCAGTCCCTGAGCCCATTATGTGCCCTGTAACCCTTTCCACTACCGGCCACAAGATGGGTATGGGGTGCATAATAAATGAACTAAACTAAACTAACTACAATTTATTTAGGATGATCAATGTACTGTAGATCTAGATATCACAGTTTTCCTATTTTACTTTGTCAAGGACAAGAAGTTTTATCAAGATCCCTCTGCCCCTTCCTTTAGGGCAGCTACTGATCATCTCCACAATGCAATCCACAATTGTTGTCTAGCTACTGGGAACCTAGGTGAACAGGTACATCAGGTGAAAGGAAAAATTTCCCCAGCACTTTTACCCCATTGCAGGAATCAAACCCAGAATTCATATAGGAGCAAATCATTTGTAAACATATGCTGATTAACATGGCTAAATTAATTGGTAAATTACTCACTCCTTTCTGTAGAATATGACCTCTGAAATGTGTGTCTTCTTGAAGGATTCGTACAGGCCCAAACATCGGTGGCATTAGTCTAAAAGAAAAAAAAGATAGTGAGAAAAAAGGGTAGACTTGAAGATGTGGTTTCCATGCTTGAATACAGTAATCCAGATGGGGTACACCAGAAATTTATATAAAGTAATTGAATCACTACCTTCTTTTCCTTTTCCTTAAAGTTTACAAGCATCATATGACAGTACTGGGAAGATGGGGACACCACAAGCATAGCTTTTGTCTTGTAACTACACTTAGTTCTTGCATCCCCGACCAATTGCCTAAGTCTTCAAAAATGTTACCCTTTGGAAATGCTAGACATTACTGCCTATAGGTTTAGACTCGACAACAAGTGCCTTTAAGAGTTTATACCACCTGCTGATGTAGACCTAGCTAAATGTAAATTCGGTCTCCAGAACTATTCACATACAGTACTTTGTGCTACTTCTTTTCCTTGTGGTTATGGAGGTCTTCAGAGTGAGGGAACAGACTAGCCGAGATCTCATGTGACCAGGGCTGCCTTCTGGGGGTGGCTAGACACATACCTTGAGGTTACCTTGAGGTGCTTCTGGGGCTTAGCGTCCCCACGGCCCGGTCGTCGACCAGGCCTCCTGGTTGCTGGATTGATCAACCAGGCTGTTAGATGCGGCTGCTCACAGCCTGACGTATGAGTCACAGCCTGGTTGATCAGGTATCCTTTGGAGGTGCTTATCCAGTTCTCTCTTGAACACTGTGAGGGGATTGCCAGTTATGCCCCTTATGTGTAGCGGAAGCGTGTTGAACAGTCTCGGGCCTCTGATGTTGATAGAGTTTTCTCTCAGAGTACCTTTTGCACCTCCACTTTTCAATGGGGGTATTCTGCACATCCTGCCATGACTTCTGGTCTCATGTGATGTTATTTCTGTGTGCAGGTTTGGGACCAGCCCCTCTAATATTTTCCACGTGTAAATTATTATGTATCTCTCCCGCCTGCGCTCAAGGGAGTACAGATTTAGGCTCTTTAGTCGGTCCCAATAGTTTAGATGTTTTACTGAGTGGATTCTAGCAGTAAAGGATCTCTGCACGCTCTCCAGGTCAGCAATTTCTCCAGCTTCGAAAGGGGCTGTCATTGTGCAGCAGTACTCCACTCTAGAGAGCACAAGCGTTTTGAAAAGTGTCATCATCGGTATAGCATCTCTAGTGTGAAAAGTTCTTGTTATCCAACCTGTCATTTTTCTTGCAGTTGTGACGGCTACTTTATTGTGTTCTTTAAAGGTAAGGTCTTCCAACATGAGTACACCCAGGTCCTTTACACGCCTTTTCGTTCTATGTTATGATTTGCCTGAGTTTTGTATGTGGTTTCCGTTTTTATATTTTCATTTTTTCCATAGCGCATGAGCTGGAACTTATTTTCGTTAAACACCATATTATTTTCTGTAGCCCATAGAAAGACCTGATCTACATCTGACTGGAGGTTTGCCGTGTTCTCTATGTTGCCTACTCTCATGAAGATCCTAGTGTCATCTGCAAAGGATGATACAGTGCTATAGGTTGTGTTCTTGTTGATGTCCGATATGAGGATGAGAAAAAGTACTGGAGCAAGCACAGTACCCTGGAGGACTGAGCTCTTCACGGTTGATGGACTGGATTTTATTTTGTTGACTATTACACATTGGGTTCTGTTGGTCAGGAAATTGTAGATCCATCTGCCTATTTTTCCAGTAATTCCTTTTGAATGCATTTTATGTGCAATAACGCCATGGTCACATTTATCAAAAGCTTTTGCGAAATCTGTGTAAATTACATCAGCGTTTTGTTTGTCTTCCATAGCATCTAATGCCATATCATAGTGGTCCAGCAACTGCGACAGGCAAGAGCGCTAAGCTACTTAGGAAGGTGAACGTGCATGGCATTGGAGGAAATGTACTAAAGTGACTAAGGCATGGCTGAAGACAGTTTCTTGCCTTTCTCTCTGCTTATATTGCACCTGTGCTTTCTGGGATTCTTTCCCAGATTAATAGTTGATCTTTGATCCCCTACTTCCCTCTCCTAGTAGAGTGAACCAGTTTCTGGTCTGTCTCCCAGTATTTTTTTTTATTTATTTGAATTTACCAGAGGGCCACTAACACTATGTAACAATATGTGACAGTGACAGATTAACATAGTAGCAAAAGTAACATATGCTGTGGGCCCTTCATTTTCAAGGGCCTTGTACTAAAAGTTTGCAGGCTGTCTGGTGAAATTGGCATCTCACAATCTGACAATGCTGTTGTTTGCATGTTGGGGAGCTTCATGCCACATGGTCCATGATCATTACACTCTTCTAATCATCGGCGGAACTTCCTTTCTTGCAAACATTGCTCGAAACAATCCAGCAATCGCACACCTATTATATTATCCAGTAATATGTTCATATGTCTTCCACGTTATTTAAAAAGCAGTACAGTATTTACTAAGACCTCTTCTGAATCTAAATTTATCCACTTTGAATCCATAAGAACATAAGAATAAAGAAAACTGCAGAAGGCACATTGGCCCATACGTTGCGATGATTTCGGGGCATAGCGTCCTCGTGGCTCGGTCCTCGACCAGGCCTCCTACAAATGTGGCAGTTTTTATTTATATCTACTCAAACTCGTTCATATATATGTCTTACTTATGTAAAAAAACAATGCCTGTATGTATTTTTTATTACTAATACAGTACTGTACTGTAATTTGAAATTATATCATTATGCTTTTTTTTCAGGATACACATTATGACAATTATAATTGCTTAAGTCCAGTAAGCCATAAATTATGAAGGTCATTCTCATTTAATAAGAATAAAATCTATATATCACCTATTGCTCTCCTTCAAAACAGCTTTAGTGTAAGTGAGCTGTGCAAGCTGGTTTGGAGTGATATTTCCCGAGCCATCTCCTAGTACATGGTCTAGCTCTTCTTGTAATCTGGCTTGAGATTCTGGGTGTTTGGCCATAAGATAGAGAAGCACAGCAGCATTATCAGCTGTCTGGAAAAAAAAAAAAGAGAGAAATGGTCAATAAATATCAAAGTAGTGCACAGTAATAAGAAATTGTTTAAATTAACTATACAGTGCTTATAATGCAAATTCTTTTTATGATGTACAGGTATCAGTAAAATTCCTTCTCTGCTTAGGTATTACATTCTTTTGGACAGTGTAACCACAATGAAAGAGACTAAGTTCGTCTGGATTTGTACAGTTGACAACAAGAATAAATATAATGTTGGTTATTTAGACCTCAGAAGGCCTTTGACACAGTTCTAAGAGACGCTACTTGGGAAGGTGAACGTGCATGGCATTGGAGGAAATGTACTAAAGTGACTAAGGCATGGCTGAAGACAGTTTCCTGTCAGCATAAAATTGTAACTGCCAAAACTGTTTTGATTTAAAATATATCTTATCTGGAAAAGATCAAGGCAAATAGGGGGGGGGGGAACCTTCGACAAGTTGCCGGCTTCCTGTCCTCGTCGAGGCCACTAGGGTTTGTGGCCCTCGGGTAAATCTGGTAAATAAATGGAGTGAAGCCTGAGTGGATACATATTGTTAGGAGTGTGTCACACGACTGTACTAGACCAACTGCTTTTCATAATTTACATCAACACCCATGATTCTGCAGTGACCAGCAATATTTGCAAGTTTGCAGATAGGACAAACATTGGACATGTAATTACCTCAGTATAGTGACAGGATGAGCTATGCTCATGGTGTCCCATCTTTACAGTGTACTATCATATAAAGCTTTGAAACTTCTGACTGTTTTACCTCCAGCACCTTCTCGCTTAACTTGTTCCAACAGTCTACCACTCTGTTTGCAAAAGTAAAGTTTTCTTATTTCTTCGGCAGCTTCGTTTAGTTGCTTAAATCTATGACTCCTTGTTTTTGAAGTACAAGTCTTGGGAATTCTTCCCTATCAATTTTGTTGATTCGTGTTACTGATTTGTATTTTTTTTTTATTTATATATACAAGAGTTCTTACATTCTTGTACAGCCACTAGTATGAGTAGCGTTTCGGGCAAGTCCTTAATCCTTTTTTCCCTGGAATACGACCCTGTACAGGTAGTAGATATGAACACTACAATTATGTAGTGATCATATCGCCTCTGTTTCTTCTATCTCCTAGTTTTTGCATATTTAATGCCTCTAACCTCTCCTCGTTGCTCTTATAATGAATACAAAAGTAGACTGATGATATGCAAAAATATTTACACTCCAGTGCTGGGTATAGACATGGTAAATGCCATTTAATGTTAAAAAATGTAAATTCCTTAACCAAAGGAAAGGCAGCAGTGCTCTATACCATCTCGGTAATAAAGTCATGAGTAGCTCAAATTGTGAGACTCTTGGGAGTCGTGGTTAGCAGTGACATGAGGCTGAGACATTATGTATCAGTGCAAGAAATAAAGCAAACAGGGTGCTGGGATTTATAATATGAAGCATCAATGACATAAGCACAAATATCATTCTTTAGCTCTATATCGAGCACTGGCAAGAGCTCAATTAATCACCATACTATAATATCCCTTTGTTGTACAATTTCATACATTTGCATACAGTGCTTCATTCAAGTCACCCCCCTTACTCTTAGCCCTTCTAGAGAATGTAAATTAAACTTTCTTAATCTCTCTTCATAAAGAACTGAGATGGTATAGAGAAGTGCCTACGGATTTCTCAAGGAATTGGGCTCCAAGCTCATTGACGTCACCAGGGACCCAAGAGCTGCCAGTATTTTTGTTTCAGCGCCTCAGTGTGGCGATCCAGAGAGGAAACGCCTCGTGCATCCTCGGTTCCCATCCTGAGGTGGAGGAGCTTCAAGAGATCCATAACCTTTAAGCTCTCTTTGTATCAACCAATGTATATCTTATAACCTTTAAACATATACGTAATAAAGCAAAAAAAAATTAAAATGAAGGGGGGTGGTAGGAGAAAAGCACACAGAAACTGTATTGGAGGGGACCTAAACATTCCCTCTAATGCGTTATGTGTGGTTTCCTCTGAGGCTAAGGGTCCCCTTCTTCCAGCCAGAGGTGGTACTCCCTTCCTGTATATATATTATTTACTGGAAATTACCTTGCGTAGTCATCTGAATTTTACAGATTTTAAAATTATATAAAAATTAATAGTTTGACAAAGAGTAGGAAGAGGTTTCAGGACATGAAGTAGTATGAAATATAAAGCGTTCAGAGTTGGGATTTATTCGACTCTTAAATTCTTAGTACTGTACTATGATGGGGATACAGTACCATTGGTGTCTTTGACTAGATGACCATTGTTCTACAGTAGTTTGAATAGTTTAAAAAAAAAAATTATTTTTATTTTATATTTATTTATATATACTGTATTTACAGAAGTTCTTACATTCTTGTACAACCACTAGCATACACAGTTTCATGCAAGTCCTTAATCCTATGTTCTCTGGAATACGACCTGCCAAATCTTTTAACAGCCAGGTACACATTTTACTGTTGGGTAAACAGAGGCTACAGTTAACGCTCAGTAAAATGAGGAATGACGCTCAGTAAATCCTCCCTGGCTAGGAAACGAACCCAAGACAAAGTGCTTGCGAAACGCTAGGCGAGTGTCTTACCACTACACCACGGGGCCTGCTTTTAAGAAGAAAAGATTACAACCTCATCTGTCCCATTGTACATGCCAGCTTTAAACTTACTGTCTGTGTGCCACCAGGAATGAGATCCATCATAAATGTGACAACATCTTTGTGGGAAAGACCAGGCTCACGTATAAGCTGCTCGACCATGTTTAGGTGACAGTCTTGACTGTCAGAACTTTTTTCTTGTATTTCCCTTTCCATCTTTTGAGCAACATCATCACAAGTTCTGAAAAAAAAAAATCCAATAGCAATCTTCAATGTTCAGTAAAAGAACATTCCAGCAGTGTTGTTTTTTATATAAACTGTAGTTAAACTTGAATAAAGCATGATCTTCAGGTAATGAAGTTAATAACATAACCTCAGAGTTAAACAGTGTGAATTCACACACAAAAGTAACTAGGTCACAAAACGTATCCAATTGTTCATAAAGTCAAAGACTACATATTAATGTCTATGTCCCTTCTCAAATGAAACACCACAAAAGTAGAGTACTGAGAAAATTAAAAAGGTGTCAATGCACAGCTAATGCCCTACTGTCAGATCTGAAGGGAGTTGGATGATAGTAAAATCCAAGGAACACACACCATATTTATACCATGGTTATACCAAGAAAATATTATCTAAGCATAAACCCACAATGAAACTGGTGCATGGATGTAACAAGGATAGAGTAACTGAATTCAGTTTATAGCATGAATTCAGTCTTTTATAAGACTGCATGCAAACCCAGCCAGGAAGTGAGAACTGTATCTAGATTAAATTAGGATGCCATCTGGTGGCATTTAGTAGTAGTGGCACAGGGAAGCTATTTGGTAGTGATCAGAATGCTACTCGCCTAACTATACTGGTTTCACTTATGGGATCTACGCTTGTGGTTAAAGTATTTCTGACACCCTCAAATTTATCATTATCCATCAAAAGTCAGCTGTCAGTTACTCAACAAACTCTATGCCACAGTATACAGTATTTTGTAAATCGTTAACATATTCAAATGTATACTGTACATCTCGCATACTTTCTTCTACAAGCTCTACATTTAAAAACTAAACAAGATAACTTTACCCAATAAACACAGTAACAGAATACAGTATATATACAGTATATACTATTTGGACGGATGTAGTATACAGGGGTTAGAATGTGAAGTATGACAAGCAGTGGTATGACAGTGTGTCACGGGTTGAATATTATTATATACTGTATGCTGATGAATGTTGAGGGCATTGGAGAAGACCTGCAGTATATCCAGAGTGTTTGTCACTGAATCACTATTGGAGTTAGACTGTCAATTCTACATTTGTGTTTGGCTTATATCCATGCTTCCTCCTGACCATGTGTTGGACACAGATTGCTGCTGGCAAGTTTGATTGGAGGGAGGGAATTATCAGAGGAAAGTGCCAAGCCATTACAACTATATAGCACTTGGAAGGGGTCAGGATAAGGATTTGGGATGGGACGGGAGGAAGGAATGGTGCCCAACCACTTGGACGGTCGGGAATTGAACGCCGACCTGTATGAAGCGAGGCCGTCGCTCTACCGTCCAGCCCAAGTGGTTGGGATGAGAATGGGGGGAGAACGAAGTCCACATGAGAGTTCAGTACATATTTCTTGATTCTGGATGGAATGATCTCCAGTGCTTGCTATCACTCCATCGCTATTGCTATCCATCGCTTGCTATTGACCCTGCATCGCCAATGCAGTATGTCACCCTGGATGTTGCATGGCATGTCTTTCAGACCCAGTTGGGCCTTGCCTTACAGAGCAATCCAAGTGATGAGGTCAAAGTGGGTGCTTCATCATGTCTGGGCTTTAGTTTATCATGCTTCTGATTTATTGATTTGTGCCAAGTAATAATATGCCTGAGGTAGTCCTGAATCGTAGAATTCCATGCTTCGGTGAGATTTTTTTTTTTTTACCAAGGCAATAAACATAATTATCAAGTTCAACATATGAACAATCGAAAAATGAACAATAACAGAAACAATACAACAAGAGACTGGACGATTCCCATTTAAGTCTACTACTGTATTATTTGGGAAATAAGTTCTGAGTTAAATATAATTGCTACTTGTATTCAAAAAGATTAGTTATGATATCAAATACATGAATTAAAATTGCTCACTCTGTTAATATCTGCATGGAATCTTGAAGTTGCTTAAATATTTTTGTAGGATAAATCTTCCATAATTTAGAACCAGTTTCACTTTCCTTGATAGCATTCATGAAATCCAGAGCAGCCTTAATGATCACTTCCGGCTGTGAACCAGGAGAGAGATTGGGGTTAAAGCATCCAACTCGCTGATTCAAAGCAACAAGACATATACCTGAAATAAGAGTGCAAGTATATAAATCTTTAAAGGGAAACCATGTTGGATACTTGGATCTTTGTCATCCTATTAATTTTCAGGACTATGTTATTCAGTGACAAGGATAAACCATTTGTCTCATAACTTTACGACAAAAATATTTTCTCTGGTGCTCATGAGAAATAGATCCATTGATCAAGTATTTCAAATAACAATTAACTTATTCCTTTCATTAATCTTGACCAAAAACAGAAAGCATCAATCATATAGAACCTATAATGAATGCTTGAGGATAATAGCTCTTAATCCCTTCATTTTGCATGTACAGTAGTTCTTATGATTTTAACTTTTTAAATGATTATGCCTTTTTCTTGTGACATTGAATCTCACCACCATGTTACAAGAATGAATACAACAATGGATAAACCACAGTAAGCAAACAAATGTCCAAAGCCAAAGAGAATCAGACTTGAAGAATGCTGTGGATGGAGTGTCACAGATAAGTTTAGGGGAAAATTCATACTGTAATTGTATGTAACTGACTTTCATTATAACTTCTCAAACCACATAATCAAATTTATAGATTATACTAAGGTAAGAAGCAAAAATAATGAAGAAATGATAACATTTTAGTCCGTTCTGGACCATTATCAAGATGTGATAATGGTCTAGGATGGAATAAAACCTCATAATTTCTTCATTTTTTTTATATGTAATTTGGATGTCATATCTTCAGCCTAGTTATTGTGACATCATCTGCATAAGAAGCAAAATAGATTTGGCATCCTAGCAAAGGACGTTAATGGACTTTAATCCTAATCAAAAGATTGGCAAATGAAATTCTGTATTGGAAAATGAAAGACTTTGTATGTGGGACATAACATGATGTACAGTATTTGTTATCATAGTTGTGATACTACCATGCTTCAGACTGAACTGGGGCATCAGTCGTCAGAGATCATGGCCAAAAACATCGTCCTTTACAGTAATCAAATCCATGACTAATAGGTTGCAAAGTGACTTTGCTAACTATAAATAGCTTCTCCCCTAATATTTGTATTTTTATCTGTGTAACACTGTAATTCAAAAGCAAATACTGTACTCCAATAGTGTGTCCATAAACAAAATACTATACTTACTCTCTAAAGACCATTTGCTTAATTCTTCTTGAAAATCTACAGTAACTTGCCCTTCACTGTTTCTCAGTTTAGATATCCTGAAAAGATATAGATGAAATAAAATTGACATGGCAGCAACTACATTAAGAGTCAGTGAAATCACACTAACGTGATACATATCAATGAGAAAATCAACTGGATTAACTAAGTCGTGGTGGTCCAGTGGTTAGCGTCAGTGGCTGGGAGTCTCGGTCGCAGGTTTGAAGTACCTCAGAGCTCCAGTTGATTTTTGCACTAAGAGTAATATAGCTGCTCCAAATTCTCAGAAGTTCTATCGCAAGCAGTTAAAAGCACCCATTAATCCCATATGACATTCACAAACCTATTCACCAACCATTAATTATACCAGTAACAAACCCCTAAGAATTCTACACTTACAGGAATCTAACATACTCCTGTAATAATAGTTAATCAGTAACTAATAGCAGTTATTCAAACTACCTGCAAGAATTCCAGAAACCGTTAAGCAGGCTTCTCGTCAACTAAATTGAGGAACTAAACTGGGTTCAACACGGGGTCAAATGGATGTTGGACAAGACATAAGACAGCTGGACACCCAGCATCTTGAATCAATTCCACTAGTGGTTCAGCGGCAAATACTATGGATATATCGTGTACGATTTCCAATGCCATTGACATTCACGAGCAATGATTGTAACACTTGACTGGTCGTCACACTGTCACATCATTCAGCATCATGCTAAATCTTCAAACCACTGCAAACTACATTCATGCAAATATACATATATAATTGCTATAGTGTTTTATGTCAACAAAACGAATGTAACAATAAAACATTATAACACATTGCTTTTATCTAGCTGAGTAAAATACCTCATGGAATTCATAGCAAACCAGAATGTAGAGTTTTTTTTTTTTTTTTTTTTTTGAGATATATAAAAGTTGTTACATTCTTGTACAGCCACTATGGTAGCGTTTCGGGCAGGTCCCTGGAATACGATCCCCTATCGTTTTTTCATCCAAGTACACATTTTACTGTTGCGTTAAACAGAGGCTACAGTTAAGGAGTCCCGGCCAGGATACGAACCCATGACATAGCGCTCGCGGAACGCCAGGCGAGTGTCTTACCACTATACCACGGAGACTGTTTAGTTGTAATACATCTTATTAAATTTTCACTTCTTTGCAGTGGGTTAATGAAAATTGAGCTTCACCTAAATTTTACTGCACGTCAGCTTTTGCTGAAAATTAACCCCTTGATAAACAACAATGGTTGACAGCCAAAAATATGCCCTAGAAAGTGATAAATATATTAGTCTATTTATGTGAGAGAATGGTCTTTCAGTTTCCCTCAGCAGACTTCTAGTAGCACATTGCAGAGCATCTGCAAGTTGTGCCCCCACAGGAAGGACCCTGTGGGGGTCTGGTGTGCCGGTCGGTGGAGCTGGTCGGCCGAGCGGACAGCACATTGGACTTGTGATCCTGTGGTCCCGGGTTCGATCCCGGGCGCCAGCGAGAAACAATGGGCAGAGTTTCTTTCACCCTATGCTCCTGTACCTAGCAGTAAAATAGGTACCTGGGTGTTAGTCAGCTGTCACGGGCTGCTTCCTGGGGATGAAGGCCTGGTAGAGGACTGGGCCGCGGGGACACTAAAGCCCCGAAATCATCTCAAGATAACCCTTACTCGACTAAGTGCACCTTGGGCCTGTACGCATTGCCCTCGTATTCACTACACTTGAACTGGCATTGTTGAAGCCATCAGCCACTCTAAAGTGGTGGTGATGTATGCAAAAGCACTCGGGGCAAAGCAAAATTCCACAATTTACAAGCTTGGAACTAGATTTTTTTTTTTTTTTTTTACAAGTACAGTATATAAATATTTTCATCTTGTTCAAGACTCACTCACCATTTATCTGTCCTATAATGATTAGTAGTAAATAAGTAAGCATTCTGTTTCCTTCATATAAATGGAAAAAGATAAAAAATTATATAGATCAACAAGGAAATAACACAAATCAATGTAGGAACAAGGAACTACAGTACCAGTAAATTCATGTTTATCTGCAACTGAAGACTAAAATCTACAAAATTCCTTGCTAGTTCTGGTGTATGCTTTTCATATTTGAAACTTCAATAGCCTTACTATTATACTAACCTGTCTAAAAAGTCCAGTGTCACCTGATCCATATCTTTAAGGTAATTAAGCACATTCTTTGGCTTCATAACAGGTGCTTGGACTCTGCTTCGTACTCGCCACCATTCCTCACCATTTCTGAAAAATGTATTCAATATAAATAATAATCTTGTGTGCAAAAAGCTGAGTGTATTATGGGTACACAGATGTACTGTGTTTATGCTTCTCCTGTACAATATAATATGGTATTTACCTCACGGGTCATTGCTGTTGACATTTAGTATTGAGTGTGTACATGTAGTATTGTATTGCAATGACATGTAGTATTAATTTTTAGTCTTTAATGTTTTTCCTGCCCGAAACGCTTTGCGTAATAGTGGCGTTAGGCATTGTATGTACTAGCTCTATCTATAAATCTATCAATGTTTGTATCATCTCTTGTATGTACTTTATCTGAATAAACATTTGAATTTTGAATTTGAATGTCTTGTGAGTTCTCAGATGAGTTTTGTCCTAGCTTCAATGGATAGGGTGGGGTTATTTATTTCTGGGAAGAAACTACATTCCAGTTATCTGTTCTACACTGTTTTTTGAAAACATGAATTTGTTGCCCCTTGTATCAAATTTGACAAGGTAGGCCAGGGTGTACCAAGCATTTTCAGTATTTTAAATATCTGCCTTTTCAGCAGATGGAGATATTTTTCAATACCTGCTTGATGGGGTTCTGGGAGTTCTTCTACTTCCCCAAGCCCCAAGCCCAATGGTTCTAAGCTTTTTGCCAGTCTACAGGTTTGGAGTTTTTTTTACTCGCCTGTACCACCCGTTGTATGGGCCACAGGTGGTCAGTTTTTTGGTGCCTTGCTTTCAGATTTTCTCCTAGTGACAGTATGATGGTTCTTAGCACTACTCCTCTCTTTTTCTGTCACTTGTCCTCAGTTTCTGTATCTGTGATCCTTTGTTTTTATCTTGGTTGCTTGTGGATAGGCTTCTTTTTCATGCTGAATGATGTCACCTTATATCATTCGACCTTGGTGGAGCAACTGCTATTGGTGTTAAGGTATTGTCAGCTACATTTCATAAGTTGTTTTGGGTATTTTTTCACCTCTGGCCTGCTCATGCTTCTCCCGAGCCGACTTGGTCTCTGGTCAATGTTTTGTTTTTCTTTTCTCCTCAGTTTTCTATTGACCCTTAGGTCAGGGATTGTTTCTTCAAGACTTTATTTTTGTTAGCGCTTGTTTCCATTTGCCAGATTAGGGAGTTTCATGCTCTGCTCTGCTCTGAAAGTGGGGTTTGCCCTTTGGCCCCACAAGTCAGCTTCTTCGCTTACTCCCCTCTCCGTCCTTTCCGGCTAAGAATGAGATGGCTGGTTTGTTTACCTTGCTGTTTATTTGTTTTGGTTTGTATACTTTTCTGGTGGCCTTTTCTTGGTTAAGGTTGGCCTTTTCTTCTTTTTCTTGGTTCCAATACCCTGATTCTTGCACCACCTTAGATGGGGAAGAGGCAGGTTTTGGCCTCTGGTCTCCAGTAGGCTTTTATAAATCAAAATGACCTGATGAGAATTCAATTGGTTTGAGTTTGCCAGGTAGCAAGCACCAAGGAGCACCAACAACTCGCCAGAAGGTGACATTTTGTTACATTTAACATGGAGTTTTTTTCCAGTTTTTGCTACTCTTGCTTTATTTGTAAATATTATTTCAAATATTGTAATTTAAATTTGTAGCTAAATTGCAAACGATGAGTTACAATAATGTGGCTGAAGATATGATGACCAAACCACACACCAGAAGATGAAGAAATGACAACGTTTTGGTCCGTCCTGGACCATTATATACAACTTGACAATGGTCCAGGACAGACCAAAACGTCGTCATTTCTTCATCTTCTGGAGTGTGGTTTGGTCATTGTAGCTAAACTGTTCTACAGTTCATAGCTGGTACTGTACTATGAATCCAACAAGTTTGAATGTGATTTCTTTCCTAAGGCATCTAGGTCTACCATATGAGGGCATGTGTATCTTGTGTGCGAGTGCAGTCTGACCTTTCATTATTCGTGCATTTTCACTGGTTTTCCTTCTGATATATAGTATTATAATTTGTGAGTTGAACACTTGGCAAGAGTAAATCAATGCATCATGTGTTCATCAAGGTCTCAACCAAAAAAGCCTTGGGTTCAATTTCTACACCAGACCAGAAGCATTTGGGCAATGGTTTCTTTCATCTATAAATAAATAAATAAATAAAATAAATAAATAAATAAATAAATAAATTTTTATTCAGGTAAGGTACATACATACAAGGTAAGATACAAAAGTTAATGGATTTATAGATAGAGCTAGTACATACAATGCCTAAAGCCACTATTACGCAAATCATTTCAGGCAGGAAAAACACTAAAACTAAAACTTAATACTAATTGAGATTAAAGTATAAATTGTGTTGAGAAAAAATAAGAAAAGAATGGAAACAAAGGGGGGGGGGGGGGGACATGGCAGAAAAAAAAGCAAAAATAAAATTTGGTCAACAAAACAGCATTGTTTAAAATAGAAGACGTGGGTTGACATTTTCGGGGTGAGGTAGGTTACATTGAGTTAATTAGGTAGTGTTTAGTTTTTATCTTAAACTGGTTGGGAGAGGTACAGTCTTTAACATTATTGGGAAGGTCATTCCACATTCGAGGTCCCTTGATTTGTAAAGCATTTCTAGTTTGAGTGAGTCGTACTGTTGGAAGATCAAATAGGTATTTGTTTCTGGTGTGGTGCTCATGGGATTTGTTACAACCTTCTAGGAAGCTTTTAAGGTCAGGACTGACATTACAGTTCAGCGTTTTATATATATAAAATACACATGAGAGGATGTGCAGGGACTTTATATCTCACATATTCAGAGATTTGAGTAAGGGGTAAGGATCTGATGGCTATGTTCACCTAACAGTAAATAGGTGCTCAGGAGTTAGGCAAATGTTTTGGGTTACAGCCTGGAAAAGGTCAGTAGTTGGGCCTATGTGGACCCCAATAAACCTAACAGGTGTCCCTCTCCCAACTATGGGAAAACTAAACCATAAGAATGCCAAGTTATTAGAGAAATATGATTGTAACTGGAGAGACAAGCAGTTGGCAGAGAAGTGTGGCATTGTTATTAGTGCTGTTTCTGACATATAAGCAAAAGAATTAGATTACATAGTTTGTGAATAAAATGGTAAGCAGTGTTGACAAGACCAGTGACAAAAAAAAAATGAAATTTAAAAGCAAGTTCATGGTGACTGTAGAAGTTTAATAGTCAGCATGTCCTAGTATTCTAACTGCATTTTACTGCCACAACTCTGGGTAATCAAAATTAGGTTGTGCAACAAAAAACATTTTTTTTTTCTTTTTGCAAAATCATTATATGCCAGGTTATTTAAAAATGGCAATGTTTCAAATATGGTATGAATTTAGATTTGAAAAATTATCTAGATTTTCAAGGGAGAACAGTTACTGCTATGTAAACCAAGGCATCAAGGAAACTATGCCCAAATGTCACATTCTGTCCTGAAATCGAATCCAGGATCATTCGGTTGTGAGTTGATTGTGCTGACCACTGTTTTGCATGGCACCCACTAATCAATTCAGATTTTATCCTTTGACATTCAACAATATTCAAATAACAATTTACATAAATTTACATAAGGCCAATAGATCTAGTGACCTTGACAGACTCTTAAACAAATTTCCTGTAGGATTTTGAACTGGAATAATCTTTTAGCAGCTGCAGTAATAGCAGGCATTAACAGCATCGATGGGCATTTACTGCAGCGACAAGCTGTCAATTCAATGGGCTTATTACCCTATCGGGTGAAAATATTTCTTATTGCTTGTCCTACATTCGTCTTCTTGAGCTTGAAACCATTGCCTTTTGTATGAATTATATTGGACTTTATAAAAAAAGTAGCCTAAATTAACACCTTCAAAATTACTCAGTACTGTATGTTAAAGTTCTCCATAAGATCAACCTTGTTATGTTTGATCTGTAGGGTTGATAAATGGATGGTGGGATTTGTATGGATAGCAGTGATGTGTGGTGGGATAATCCCTGTAGGCACAATATCTAAGAGCAGTGCCAAATCAACATCGAATCAGTGTCATCAACATTGGTTTAACTCTGAATTAACGTTCATAACATTGAATCAATGTCAAATCAATGAGTCCACTGGGAGTGAGGTGTTGGGAGTGTAGTAGGTCTGGTTTGTTGTGAGAGTTGGGTGCGTTGGCTAGGGTGTGTAGATACGGGTGTTGTGATGGGGTTTGCGGTAGCATGAGTTTTGGGTTTAAGTGAGATACACTCCGTTGAGTGTAATTTGAGGGCTGGATATGAGTGTTGGGAGCAGCTAGTAAGTGAGGTTGCTGATAGAAAAATTGAGACTGGTGGGAATTTAGTGTGGGGTAGGGGATGGTAGCTTCAGTTTATAAATTCTTTATCAGCTCATCTATGCTAATTCACACAATTATTTTAATCAGAACCAAAATGTTATAGCATACAAATAAGCAAGTAAAATTTTTGTTCGTATGTAATATTGTGGGATATCTATCAATTGTATCATCTATCGTATATCACAGATATCATATCTATGATATATATCATATCTATGATATATATCATATCATCATCTATCATATATCATAGATATCATATCTATGATATACATATATCATATCATCCTCTATCATATATCATATCATATGTGATAGATATCATCTATCGTATGATAGATGTGGGATCGCTTGGTTGTTTCAGGCATACGTTAGACATACACATGAATGAATTTGGGAGATATAAATAAAAGTGGCCTCATATGGGCCAATAGGCCTTCTGCAGTTTCCTTCATTCTTCATTTGGTTACTACTGGTAATAAGTGGTTCCCTCAATAACCAAACTTAAAAGAAGTAGTTACTCCAGCAAGGAAAAAGGCAAGAAAGTAGAACTTCAATATACAGATTGATTACTCACTCTGTTACTATACCAGATTTGTTTTCAAAATATGGATTAACATATCTAGCAGCCTTCAGGGACTCCATTGAAATTCTCACAGGATTACTCTTTGTCAGTTGTAGAATTTCCTCAGCATCTTCAGGTTTTTTAATTAACACCGCTGTTGGCTGGCCAGGATATTTTACCTTTACGATTGGTCCATGTATTTTGAAGAGTTTCATGATATAACGAAATGAATTTTCCTTGTCAAAGTCTGCAAAGTAAATGAAAATTGTAAATTAAATGCCCTCTAATAATAGATGACAGGTGTCAATTAAACACCGTTAAATAATTTATAACAGGTGTTAATTGCTTTATCTAAAAGTTCCTTATGGCAAAGATCCACTGTGTCATATGACCAGGATCATATGCTCACCTAATTGCCAAATTACATCCCTCTAATTGTGTTGAGGTTTAGCTTCAGCTCTTAAGTCCCACTTTTCAACCTTCAATCAACTGGCATACAGGTTCACAAGCCTAATAGGCTGTGTCACTCTTACATTTGAGGCTGTGTGTGTGTGTAGAATTTGCCTCGACAGCTTCCCTTTTCAGTGCATTCCATATGTTCTCGTAACTTGTAACTTGCAAGTCTTACACTGTACACATTCTTTTTAATGTGGCTGCTCATTTGGATATTGAGTTTCAGCCTATGTACCCTTGTTCATGCATCTTTGCACTGTCAGTTTCACTGACAAGTTTGATTGTGGCAATCATGTCTAGCTTGACTCTTCTATCTTCCAATGAATTAAAGGTTTAATTACCTATTATGAGCCTTTATTAACTCATAAACCTTTACTTAAAGGTTTATGAGCCAAGATTTTTTTTCCCATTGTTAGAAACAGTAAGTCTCTTAGAATGATGGAGGTTCTCTTAGGCCATCAACTATCTTCCAAAGGATGCAACCTATAACAGTTACCTAATCCAAGGTACAATACCTATTTACTGATAGGTGAAGAGAGGCATCAGGTATAAGGAAACATGCCGAAATGTCTCCTGCCTGAGGATCTTATAGTCGTGAGCAGACTGCTGACCACTGTTCCATGATGGTGATGGAATTAAAAAGTATCTTCTCTGCAAGTGCTATAGTGGCCTCTTTATTATGGTCTTCTCCATGACTTTGCATGATACTGTATATGGTAACTGAAGTTCAATTTGTTGTCTATATGAAGACCTAGTATATGTTAATTATTATCATTACCAAATGTGTGTGTTTATTCTTTCAAGTAAGTTGCAGAGAGGGCAGAAGGAAGCAAGAATATAATTTTGGGTAGACCTCGGATACTATTGATCAAGTGACGCAGCAACAGGAGTCATAGCATTGGCGGAGTCAGCAGAAGAGGATGCTTGCTTGGGCAGCTTAATGCCCCTTCCTCCCAAGAGTAGAAGCAGTGATTGAAGAGGAGAGGAGATTCATCTAGCAGTGGTCTGAGGCTAATTGATTTGTGGTTACAGCTATTTTTGTATTTATTGGTCCCTGGTAGATGTGGGGCAGTGTAAGGTGCTGCAGGAGCTTCTACATTATTCTCCTCTCCAATGCAATGGAAACGATTGTGTTAAGGCAGTGTGCAAGCCGATCAGTGAATAGTGCAAGAGCAAATTTGGAATTCGATGCTTGACGATACTGTATTATTATTGTCTTCAATCCATGGCCAGAGACCAGTAGTGCTACAGACTGGACTGGAGTCAGATGTAGCAGCATGAGAAGCAGAACTGAGGTAAAGATAAGAGGCAGGATTGTAATCACAGGTGGTTGAAACATAGAGGCCGCAAAAGGTTCCTGGGAAGAAGAAGAAAAACATAAGGAGGAGCAAGGTGTGGTTCCTGTTCAGGTGCAGGCATAGTGGCCAGGTTATTGGGTTGTCATGGGTAGAGCTGAAGTAGGAGCAGCATTGCCAGAGGAGCTTTTGGAAGTATTTGAGAGAAACTTGGTAGAGATATAGAAATACTGTAGTCACATCGGGAGTGGTGATAAAATGTGCAGTGTTTTCCCAAGAAGTTCGTAGACCTATATGATTGTTAGATTTACTAAAAAAAAAAAAAAAATAGTACAGGTAGAAAAATATAAAAAATAGAAGGTATGTCTTCAATGCGAAGTGTTTGTGTGTGTTAGTAGTCAGCCACACGTGTACGTTTTTGAGTTCAGAATTTACTGTATCAGGATAAGTAAGTTAGTATCTGAGAAAGTGAAAATTGTCATAGTATAGTACAGTACATATATGTGCTTTACTAGGCCTAGGAAAGTTTAGGTGGTTGTTACCTTCATTCTGATGCCCTCTATAAAATTATTGTACAAAACATGTTAAGGTTTTTTAGGGAGCAAGTCTATTTTTCATACGTTCCGCCCATAGCTGCTAAAACAATACAGTATAGTATTATCATTTATTATTATTATTATTATTATTAGTGATGAGACGATACTAAAATGTACACCGATACTGATTATCGATTCTGATTACTTAAAAAAATAAAGTTGGATACCAGTACATACTTATTCTTCTGATTAATTGTCCCATCACTAATTATTATTATTATTATTATTATTATTACAGTACTGTATTATTATTATTACTGTATTATTATTTAGGACAAAAACCTACACTTGTGTACAGTTTGTGAAATTTACATTAGGAATTTACACCAAGCCTTTCACACTTTCCTGAGTGCTTTATCAAGGTCTGAGTGTGTGATTAGGACGAGACTTACATCTCAACGTCTAATGAGGCTGCTATCCTGGGTCCAGTCCTTTTATCCTTCTTGACCGCCTGACCATGTCACCTCTATTCCCGATTGGCTATGCACAAAAATTCCTTACATAAATTTCGCAAATATACAAGTGTGGGTTTTTGTCCTAAATAATATACTGTACAGTAATATAATAATAATAATAATAATTAAGTATTACCTGTATTAATAATAATAATAATAATAATAATAATAATAATAATAATAATAATAATACAGTACTGTAATATAAATAATAGTAATACAGTAATATTAATAATATTAATACAATAATAATAATAATAATAATACAGTATTAATAATAATAGTAATATTAATAATAATAATACAGTAATATTATTAATAATAATGCAGTAATAATAATTAGTGTAAAATCAGAATCGGTATTGATAATCTAGAATTTTCAATAATCAGAATTAAGAGAATACTGTACTGTATTACAGAGTCTTAAAACAATTCTTTAACATTTAATAAAATTAATTATAATGTAATTTTATTCAAAAAGGATTAAAAAAAAATTTGTATTGTAAAATATATATAGCATATATATCTGTGATGGATAATGGAATGTTTTTAGTCTTTCTTATTTTCTTCAGTTTTGTTGATTAATTAAGGATTATTTTTTGAGTAAAAAGGAATTAGCTATGTGTGAGAAGTCATTACCATTACTATTATTATTATTATTATTTTTGGATGACACGTTGCAACATCAATACTATTGTACTAATTTTTACATCTTCAAACAATTGGCATCATTCTTGACTCATCCATCAGGGATCCCGAGTTCAATTCCCAGACAAGACATTTGTCTTATATGCTTACTATATTAACCTGCAATGTTAAATGGGATTCTTGTAATGTTATTTGTCTATTTGTACTCACTGAATTTGTGCGCCCCTTGAGGGATTTGAAGTAGAGGGGGGTAGAAATAGCCTAAGCTACTCTATCCCTTAAAGATGTATTTTTTCTTATCTCAATAAACATACTTGAACTTATGATTTGTAAGCTTGCTTACAGGTCTTGCACACAAAATTATAATACTGTACAATTAATAAATGGTCACTGCTTGCATCACAAGCGGGGATGTTTCTGGCGGGGGAGAAAGAAACAATTGCGCAGCGCGTCCCGCGGCGTTGCGCGGGCAGTTTGGGGCCATATAAATACGGGCGCACAACGGGGCTCCGCCTCACTCCGCCTGCCCTCGCCGCTGCCCTCGCAAAACCCCACCCTCCCCCCCTTTTTTGCAAGCGGCTGCTTTTGTACCCCCGTCATGCTTTGCACAGTTGTCCCGATTGTCTCCCCACTGCATGTGGGAAGGGGGGTGCAGCGCCGGTCCCCAAGTGTCCCGCTGTCCGCAGCTAATACTTTGCCCAGTCTAGGTGCTAGTAAGCCCTACTTGTAGTCACACCCCCTTCTCCTTATCCATTAGGTCTTTTACGGCCTCTTGGCCGGGTACATTACGTGTTATGTGGTCTCTCACTTATTAGTTATTCTTTGTGTCCTGCCTGTTATATCCTAGTGTTATATAATTACTACACATTTGCACTCGGCCTTAATTCTAGTACCAGTTAACCTTTAGGTTTCTGCAGAATTAGTTTCCATGTCACTATAGGCTAAGGTCTCATACTTACTACGGGTGTACCTTTTAAGTTAAATCTAGTCCTTGGAATTGTTACTGTTAATTCTTACTTTATATATTTACTTTATATGTTTACTTTATATATTTTAATATAAACGTTATATATTCCTTAAATTATATTTGAAACTTTGTATATTTACATGTTCAATATTAAGTTTTATATAATATCAACTTTGTTAAGCCTATAATATAAACCGTGTTTAATATAAACTTTATATAATTACTTACTTTATGTGAACTTTATATATTTACATGTTCTGCAGAATTTAATCTTCAATAAACTTTAACGCCCATACTGCCAGTATCTTTCTCCCCCTGGTCAGAAATTCATATTAACTGAAACCTAACTGTATAACTTTTAAAAATAGAATCTTTTTCTTATCTTCATATACCATTATATTTATAGTACTAGATACGTATATGTATGGTGTTACATATACCATGAAACTCAGCGTTTCATAAAAAATAACAGGGACATTATTTTGTAATAGTTTTTATTTATGATTTACACTGGCACACCTTTTATTAGTTTATTAATAAGTACATAAACTATGTAATGAATATTACAATACAGTGCAGTGGTTATATACCTTTATCTGTGAGCATGTCCATAAGAGACCCAAGAACAGGGTAGCACTTGGGTCCTGGGACTTCTAGCAGTCGGGTAGCGGGTGATTCTCTGTTGGTAACCGGCATGGTCTTCGCGTGTACCATTCGCCCTGTAACGCTCAGTGTGGAAGGCCTTACTGACAGCATTATCTTCCTGCTTGAACTGTAGGGATAAAATGAGTTTTGCTTAGACTGCTGATTTTATATATTTAATTTTATTTTTTTCTCTGAAATTTAAAGCCAAAGAAAACCAGCTTCCCATCCCACATAGTAAGAGTAAGGGGAGACATGATAACCACCTACAAAATTCTCAGGGGAATTCACAGGGTGGACAAAGACAAACTCTTCAGCACGGGTGGAACACGAACAAGGGGACACAGGTGGAAACTTAGTACCCAGATGAGCCACTGAGACGTTAGAAAGAATTTTTTCAGTGTCGGAGTAGTTAACAGGTGGAATGCATTAGGCAGTGATGTGGTGGAGGCTGACTCCATACACAGTTTCAAGTGTAGATATGATACAGCCCAATAGGCTCAGGAATCTGTACATCAGTTGATTAACAGTTGAGAGGCGGGACCAAAGAGCCAGAGCTGAACCCCCGCAAACACAACTAGGTGAGTACATCTCAACGTAGCATTACCAATCCAGAGAAGGACCGTGTATGGTGAATTAGATGGTCACGGGGGGGGGGGGGATGGGTCGAGGACGTCACTGGCTGGTGTGGGGGCGAGGACGTCACTGACTGGTGTGGGGGCGAGGACATCACTGGCTGGCGTGGGGGCGAGGACGTCACTGGCTGGTGTGCAGGCGAGGACGTCACTGGCTGGTGTGCAGGCGAGGACGTCACTGGCTGGTGTGCAGGCGAGGACGTCACTGGCTGGTGTGCAGGCGAGGACGTCACTGGCTGGTGTGCAGGCGAGGACGTCACTGGCTGATGTGGGGGCGAGGACGTCACTGGCTGGTGTGGGGAGCGAGGACGTCACTGGCTGGTGTGGGAGTGAGGACGTCACTGGCTGGTGTGCAGGCGAGGACGTCACTGGCTGGTGTGGGGAGCGAGGACGTCACTGGCTGGTGTGGGGGCGAGGACGTCACTGGCTGGTGTGGGGGCGAGGACGTCACTGGCTGGTGTGGGGGGCGAGGACGTCACTGGCTAGTGTGCATGCGAGGACGTCACTGGCTGGTGTGCATGCGAGGACGTCACTGGCTGGTGTGCATGCGAGGACGTCACTGGCTGGTGTGCAGGCGAGGACGTCACTGGCTGGTGTGCAGGCGAGGACGTCACTGGCTGGTGTGCAGGCGAGGACGTCACTGGCTGATGTGGGGGCGAGGACGTCACTGGCTGGTGTGGGGGCGAGGACGTCACTGGCTGATGTGCAGACGAGGACGTCACTGGCTGATGTGGGGGCGTGAGGCAAGGAATCTTAATTTTATTTATATATTATACGGTAGCGTATAATACGGAGCATATACGGTAGCGAGATAAGTAGTTACTCAAGTTACGTATATTACGTATATTGAGTATAAGTTACTCAACACAAAGCTGCTATTAGGACAATATCCAATTCTGGCCCCAGACACCACTCGGTACCCCTACTTAAATCTCTGAATATGTTAGACATTAAGTCACTGCACATTCTCTCATGTGTATTATACATATATAAAACGCTAAACTATAATGCCAATCCTGATCTCAAAAGCTTCATAGAAGGTTGTATCAGAACCCATGAGCATCACACCAGAAATAAATACAGTTTTGATATTCCTAGAGTACGACTTAATCAAACTAGAAATGCTCTACAAATCAAGGGGCCCAGAATGTGGAATGACCTTCCCAACCATGTTAAAGACTGTACCTCTCTCAACCAGTTTAAGTTAAAAGCGAAGCTATACCTAATAAATTCCCTGTAACCTACCTTACCCTTCTATTGTCAACCAATGTCTGTTTTTTTCTTTAAAGAGCGCTGTTTGTCGACATAATTGTATTTGTGCTGCTTTTTCATCTATGTTTTCATTTCTTGTTTTCATTCTACTCATTATGCTCAATTAGTATTAAGCTTGTCATTTAAGTTTATCATGCCCGAAACGCTTTGCGTAATAGTGGCTTTAGGCATTGTATGTACTAGCTCTACCTATAAGTCAAACAATCCTTGTAAATATTTATTGTATGTATGTACCTTACCTAAATAAAATTGTATTGTATTGTATTGTATTGTATTGTAGTCATATAATGCGTTCCGGAAGCTGACCCCGCCATAATTGGGGGTCAGCTTCCGTATGGGCATGGGGTCAGGTGACCCCATGCCATCCTGTAGGCCGAGGCAGAAAGGGGTAGTTACATAATGGGTTCAGGAAAGGAAACGCTATGTTCTTTGAGCCCAACATAATACATTTATAGTGCTATTTATAAATTTATATCATTAACTACAAAGATGTGGTCAAGTTTAAAGTCCAGTAGTTTATATTAAGGAATTAAACCCAATAACGAAGATAAGCTTGACTTATCCATAGCCGCTAGCTATGGGGAATTCTATCCACTGTTCTTCTATGTATCCACTATCCAATTCTATCCAATTCTTGTATATTTAACAAGTACTATTTTTCAACTACGAACCAACTTATATATGAGCAATGTACGGACATGATTTTTTAGTTTAACTATTTTTGTTAATAATTAACAACTTTTACTAAAGATTCTAAATATTTCAGACCGCGAAATATAACAACTGTATCGGAAATGAAAGAATGCTTGTAAAATACGATTTTGGGTGACATTAAAAGAGTATAGAGATTATTGCTGTTGTTATAGATTCAGCTACTCGGAACAAGTTCCAAGTAGTACGGGCAATGGTGAGCCCGTAGTGGACTTACCTGGCACAGGAGAGGGACAAGTAGCACGGGTTATGGTGAGCCCGTAGTGGACTTACCTGGCACGGGAGCGGTGTTCCAGTATATATAGAGATTTCGATGTTCATTTAATATAGTGTTGGTTACATCAGTCGGATGTTGGATATGTAATGACATGCTGATAGCAGAGACAAGGATGCTTGAGCGAGGCCCGGAGCCGAGGAGCAGTTTCTTATTAAAAATGTTAGAGGCACATAATGGGACTTAACTCCATAATTCATTAAGCAAGTTACAATTTTGATGAGCTAGTTACAAAATCGCAGGAAGCTGGACTGTCGGGCGATAGCGGGTACCTTGAGTATGGTCGGAATTGAAATAAGTTTATTGAGGTAAAATACACACAAAGGGATGAGGTAGCTCAAGCTATTCTCACCCCGTTTAGTACATGGTCGGAATCAGGGGACAGATTCACGAAACAGTTACGCAAGCACTTACGAACCTGTACATCTTTTCTCAATCTTTGGCGGCTTTATTTATAATTATTAAACAGTTAATGAGCTCGGAAGCACCAGGAGGCTGTTTATAACAATAACAACAGTTGATTGGGAGGATTTCATGCTTGTAAACTGTTTAATAAATGTAACTAAAGCCGTCAAAGATTGATGAAAGATGTACACGTTCAGGCTATCTGGTCTGACGCGAGGCCGTCTTGAGCAAGAATTGGAGTTAGACTCGTCAAGTGTTACATGGGTTGCTCAGCTACAATTGGAGTTTAGACTCCAATTGTGGAGTCCCAATTGTTTACTCTCCGTTCTTGACGGCTTATATGCCATGCTTTACCTGACTTTGCAAGTTGACCGTTATCTTGCTCGTTACTTTTCAAATTCAAATTCAAAATTCAAAACAGGACAACTTCGTCTGTTGTTCAGTCAAACTTCGTCAAAACAGGACCTTCAAGACAACTTCGTCTGTCCTGAAGGATTCTTGCAAACTTGGACAACTGTATCTATTGTAATTAGTACACATAGGATTATTGGAGACCCTCTTTGGGTATGGGATGCTTAGGGATAAGTTGTTTGGAATTTATTGTAACATTTAATTCCCTACGTAGTCCCCGTGGCGCAGTGGTAAAGCACTCGCCTGGCACTTCGCTAGTGCTTTGGCCCGAGTTCGTATCCTGGCCGGGGAGGATTGACTGGGCGCCAATCCTCAAGCCTCTGTTCACCCAGCAGTGAATGGGTACTTAGTTGTCAAACGATTTGGCGGGTTGTATTCCGGAGAAAATTACGATTAAGGACCTGCCCGAAACGCATACATTACAAAACAAAAAAGTGGTATAGAACTTCTGAGAATTTTGACACCTGACAAAATTTGAGAATTTGTTGACATTGGGTGAACGTTTCCGTTCATCCAATGAACATAGACATACATAGACACCCAGACATGAATGAACATAGACACCCAGTGAACATAGACATTGGGTGAACGTTTCCATTCATCCAATGAACATAGACATACATAGACACCCAGACATGAATGAACATACACCCAGTGAACATAGACATTGGGTGAACGTTTCCGTTCATCCAATGAACATAGACATACATAGACACCCAGACATGAATGAACATACACCCAGTGAACATAGACATTGGGTGAACGTTTCCGTTCATCCAATGAACATAGACATACATAGACACCCAGACATGAATGAACATACACCCAGTGAACATAGACATTGGGTGAACGTTTCCATTCACCCAGTGTCTATGTTCACCTAGCATTAATGAACAAGCAAAGATCGAGAGAACTGGACCTAACCCAAGCGGAGAACACAGGATATATATGATGACATAACGACGTACAAGGAGACTTGACACACAAGATTGCTAAATAGTCTCCGTCACTTGGCGCCTTTTTGTGAAAATTAGACAAACTAATTAGACAGCCAAACTAATAATTAGACAGAAGAGACACATGCCAGCACTCACATACAAGCAGTAGCAGTTAGATATAAGAAGTCACATGTCCCCAGGTATTTCTTAACACTCAGCTCATGCGCAATGCTGCTTCATTGAATATAAAAGTCTTTATCTAACTCTAAGCGCATTACGGGTTATTCATGCCCATGCCACCTCTTGGGTGGCTTAATCTTCATCAATAAACCAACCAACTATTAACTCACTATGGCTCATATAACAATCGTCTTAAACCAAACGCACTATGGCTAATACAAGTCTTCATCACCTAAACTAGGCGCTCTATGGCTGTCTCATTTTTTCTTGCTTTCGGGCCTTTGCAATGGGTCACTATAAAGAG